TCAGTCCTCTTCAGGAATATCACTCATACATTTGAGAGCTACCATATTTTATCCCAGAAAAGAGCATTCTAGAGTATTCAAAAATTATTTTATTGTCAGATTTTCACTAACCCATCGGCCTGATTGAAGATTTAAATATTACAAGAAACCTTATCAGACTGAAACATGTAAGAAATATTATAGAAACTTGTCTCCATTATATAAATACTTACTTCAACATTTGTTAAGAGTAAAACTCCAGCTACCAACTCTTCAAGAAGGTGTAACTTGTAAGAAGTTATATATGGCACTTAAAAACGAATGACTGTAATATTCATGGATAACTTATCGTAAATAAATCTATCAATTGAAAAAAAATATAGGAAAAGGATACATGACGAATCAAACACGAATATTTCTATTCTGACTGAACAGTTTGATGATTTTCAGTATGAAACATCTTCGAAATGCCATCTAATTCTAAAAAAAATTTACGATAACTAGGAAATATCAACCATTTTCATATCTAAAAAATGTGTTCACTTTATTTTAAAAAAGATTGAGACGCTGCCCTTTTTTATTTCGATTCAAAGCAAAGAGTGTATAGTTTTGACATTTTCGGATTTTTACTGTGCCTTTTACTGTGCATATCTGTGAAATTTCTTAAAAGAGGTATACCTACAAGTATTGAAAATAAACGTAAATTATCTTTGAAGAGTTTGTCATAGCTCAAGAGTTTCAAACTCAGAAATTCTTTCCAGCAGCGTACAATATGTTTTCCCCCTGTAGAGCATCTCTGTTGCGGTATCCGATATCTACAGAAGAAAACCATGTTCTAACGTTTCAAAAACTTTACCTAGCCCCGGTTGTAGAGTACAAAATCGTGTATCCGAATTCTACCCAGCTGTCAGCATCCAGCACATAAAATGAAATCATTTCAACTTTTGTGTGTTCAGGTGAATTTATTTATCAATACTTCAAAAGCGGGTAGACAGGGGTTGGTAACGGGAGACTTAGGTAATAATTTAACTACCACCCCAGGTAGACGAGATAAAGATTGTCGTCGAAGGAATTGGATGAAAACGCTGAACGCTGTAACGTTGAGAATGCTCTAGCTACTTTGTGTGAGTACCTCAATAAAGTCCAGTAAAATTGATTAAATATGTTTTTTATTTGATGAATTATGGTTGGGAATTTGTAGTGTGGTAGCTCTGCTAACCTTATATCAAGTTGACGGAGCCATCCTAGTGAAATTCTCGAAAAAAACTCAAATGTTGAAACTTTGCATTGCTAATTTCTGTTAAATCCATTCAGTATAAAAATCCATAAAACTTACTTATGTTGAAATTTTTGCATTTTTTGTTTCATGCCTTGTGTCGTAAGAATATGACACTGTCGCAAACATATGTGTATAAGAAATCTTCATAAGTTTTTTTCAAAATATCGTGAGTGACAGAAACCAAGAATTTAATTGATTTGTTTTTGATTGTTTTTGAATGGATGACAATCCGTATCAAAACTCATTAATACAGTTTATCGTATGATTTTCACTATATAAAGGGTTTTACAAAAACCGTGTTTCGCTATAAAATAGTTTTCTCAAGCGTTAATAATATTAACGTATAGCGAAACACGTCTCGCGATTTGTTTTCAATTATAATATTTATAATAACGTGTGATGAGTACTTTAAATTTTGAATATTTTCAGAAAAAAGTCTAGCACTGATAAATCAAGAAATCGCACAGGCCATTCTGTAGGTCCTCGTCTTGCAATCCATTTACCTGTAGAATTTTCAGTGAAAAATTGAAGTACAGGTGCAACAAAACAGGAAAAATCTCCACTTTATCTGTCTAATGTAGATTATCATCGCTTCCAAGTAACTGAGTTAATTGCAGTGATTACAGTTGCTGTACTCAGGAGTTACAAGTTGTTTTGGTCCGCTGGGGTTATAATTAATGGAATATGGTCCTACATTTCCTTAAAATTCAAGTCCAAACAGCAATTTTTGAGGTATTCAAAAGTAAGGACCAGTAGAAGGCGATCCAGATTTGATTGAAACTAAAGTTTGATGAAACTAAACTTTCATCGTCCCAATGGAAGAGCTCAGGAAAACCAAAACCAAAAAAACCACGCCAAGTTCGACAAAATGTCAAGGTTTTGTTAACTGTTTTTTGAATGACTGTGACGCAGTGCATCAGGATTTCTTGCCACATGGGGATGCGGTCTACAAAGAATATTATCTTGAATTTGTGCGCCGCTTGCGAGAAGCAATACGAAGAAAACGTAATCATGCCAGCCACCGTTTTCACCAGATTTGCTCACCTGCGACTTTTTTCTGTTCCCAAGATTGAAGAAACTCGTGACAGAACTTAAGGCCATATCAAAAAGTGTATATATAAGGGGACAGAATAGAAGCTGACAAAAACATATTTTTTGAGAAAAATGAAAATTCACCAAATTATTTGAACAGACGGAGTATAGTATTATAACCATTTGAACGTATTTTTTGCGGAACGATTTGTGACTGTATTTTCCTCATCGATTGTTTTTATTATACTAGAGGTGATGTCATTCCCATATTTGTGGTTAGTACAATAATACATCTATTTTTATTATCTCATTACCTCTACTGTTGTTATCACAACTATATAGTCTATATAGTGGCAGGATACCTACTTTTACTCAATATATTTTCTAATGAATAATGTTCACACTAAATTCGGGAATATCAAACAGCTGATTACAAAACAGTTATTGTTAAGTTTGTTGATTGGGTAAACACATTGCGTCGATAATTATTATAGTCATTTATGAAAATATACATATACATCTTCAACAATATTTTTCCCATATCAAATGTGAGTAGAATACGTTGGTTTTGCTGAATTTTAAAGACTGCGAAAGAAAAAATAAGATAAAAGGGTGTGGTAGCAGATATTGTCAAAAACCTATTTGTAGAGTGATCGTCAAAGTCAGTTAAGTTCTAATCTTTTGAAATTTGTTAGCTGATTTTGTGTCAAGGTGAAGTAAGTAGGTTGCAGGAAAAAAATCTATATAGGAAAATTAGTTCTATTTGTGAGAAATCTATTGGAAAACATGACGTCAAATCAATATTTATTTCATCAAGATATATTGTATTCATTCTGATTATTCCTTATCAAAGGAAGTTACATGATGATTAAGTCATTCATAAATTTCCGTTTTATCTTATCTGGGGAAATTACAAGAACCTGTATTACAAAGTTCTTCACATACGAAAAAAATTGCTAAATACTGGGTCAAAATAATATACTGTAGTTAAAGACGAGGACAATTAGAAAAATACCTGCATATTCTTTAAATTTTCTCTTTTTGTCTTTCCAAAGTGAAATCCTTTTTTTATTCTTGTTTTTGGACTTAGGTTTGCTTCGAGTATTAGGTTATAAAAATGAATTAGTAAGAAGTAGAATAAAAATGACGTAGAGAACATCCCGTTACATTTTTTTAATATCAACATATTTCGGTTGAATACTTTTTTTTGTATTTTCGTGTTATAAAATCAGTTATTTGAAGCAATAAGGAGCTTATTTAGCTCGAACTAGATTGAAATTATTAGTTTCAGTGGCGTCTCAGTGAGCACCACTACCAACAATATGTGTAGAGAAAAAAAGGAACGCCACTGACTTTTTCTTTATTTTTTAATTTTTCAGATTAAGCAATTGTAGATACAACCTTTTCGTCGCTTGTATTTTTTCATATCAAGCTTCGTGTTCGAGAAAAATAATCAATTCTGAAAACTATCCATGGACAGACAACATAAAATGAAAACCAAAAGTAAACAATAAAGAATTTCGACATGAAAGTAAGTAAACAAAATGTCCACCTTCTGATGAAATACACGAATGCAATCGATTTGCCACTGATTGTCTGACACGTTCAAAAATACCTGGATTATTCCTTATAACATTGCAATTGTCACTTATTCGATTCCTCAAGTCATTCACATCTAGTACAGCAGTTTTATAAAGTAGAGCCTTCAGATGAAAACCTTAATGGAAATCTAGAGGGTTCATATCGGGACTGCGAGATGGCAAATTTCGAAGTTCTGCACGTCCAATCCATCGATTAGGGTAGGTGATGTCGAGATGCTGGCGAGCAAGAACAGTAAAGTGAGCTGCAGCTCCCAGTTACACATAATCTTGCATGTAGCGTTCTAAATGGTTTACCACATGGTGTTAAGATACATGTCCTAGTGAATTCTCCGTGCTTCTTTCGCTTTTCCATTTGCTAATCCATAAATGAGGTGCAATGCAACCATTTCAGCGTTAGAAACATTATTTATGATGGAATCACTGTTAATTGACAACTATGACTTTCACTGATATGACAACACTATCAGCTGGTTTCCAAATCAAGTGTACACGATATGCAAAGTGGCTTCAACTTTTTTTCTCGAAAACGAAGCTACATATGAAGAAAATACGAGCGACGAAAAAGTTGTATTTTCAATTCATTAATCTAAAAAAAAATCAAAACTAGAACAAGTCAGTGGCGGACTTTTTTTCTCAATATTGTTGGCTGTGAGACTCCACTAGACCTAATAACTTCAATCTAGCCTAGATAAGGGCCTTATTACTTCAAATAACTGTAGCAAATTTCAACCAAATCGGTGTGAGGATATTTATGATATTTTGTCAACACCGCTTTTATTCAAAACTTCAACGCCCTCTATTTCAGAAACGAAGCAACTCCGTGAGAAATGTTTTTCTCAAAACGACCTAACGAATCACCCTCTTAAGTTTGGTACCGTAGTTAGGAAACACCCTGTATACGTTGCGGAGTTGTGACTGAAGAAAAACCAACGACTTGATTGCCAATTTATTACAAACTCTGGCAGGGTCATTTGTCGACTGAACCATTCCATAAAAAAATATGCGGGTGAAAATACGCCACATGTCGCCACAGGCAAACCACGTCGCTTCGTCCAGGAGGAGAACAAATCTACTATAGCCCTTTCCGAGGGAAAATGAGTCGCACTCACCGACTTGCAGCACCCCGTCCACACACCCACTCTCGAGCAACTTTAATCCCTTGCAGAACGACAGATTCTGCGGTTCGCCACTCGCGTTCACGGGAGGCACCCGTGACAGCGACGAGTACATGCAAATGTCCCTCTCATTCCTCGGAAACGACCAAAAAATTATCCTCCGCTGCACCGGCTCCGGGATCCGGTCGTAGCGCTCCTCGATACGCTGAAAGGGAATGTTCTCCGCGACGATTTTTGCCGTGATATCGAGCAAGGTGTCCGGGCTGCGAGGGCCCGGCTCTTTCAGCAGGGGCCCCCCGGCACTGGCCCGCGAACAACACAAGCGCCTGGCCTGCGCCATCTGCGAAGCACTCTCACTGACTGACTGGCGGGACGAGCGCGAGTCGTGCGCTTGAAGCGCGCTGTTGCCGGCTTGCCGATGGCTTTTTCCTGAGGTCTGGTTACGGGGTTTATCGGCGGTCTCGGTCCGCCCGGGGTGCGTCCCAAAACGGGGAAGACGCACCTGCACGGACTCGATGAGTGGGATGGTCAAGTTAGAAAATATTAATTATTTTCTTAGAAAGACACCATGTTGAAAAAAGATTTTGAATTCGAGCCGGAATTTGAAAAATTTACTAATTTGAAATCAGAATTCAATTGGGAATTCAAATTCAAAATTTAATGAAAGTTCTTTTTCAATGTCGGGATTTGATAAAAATTCAAAGTGAAGATGAATTTATTACAAATATCACTTCAATATCGGAACTTAATGAAAATTCACAACTTTTTAGCCACAATTCATCGAAATTCTCACTTCATTGTCAGAATATAATGAAAAGTCAGAGTTTCAAGTCGGATTTTATTAGATATTCCAAATTTCAAGTCGGCATTCAGGAGAGTATGGTTTTAATTTTAAAATTTCATATACATTTTGACTTCAAAATCAAAATTTCGTAAAAATTACAAATTAGTAGTGGGAATTTATAAAAATTAATATTCATAACGTTCGTTTATAATTCACTACGTAATAACTTAAGATGTGAATTCCTGCTAGCAAAAACATTTAGACTCTGCAGTCAAAATTTGGTGATATCTCTACTTCAATGATTCATTTATTTTATTACAAATTCGAAATAGGGTTAAGGTAAGAATTCATTCAAAACCATATTAAGAACCTAAAACCCATTGGAATTTACTAATTTGAAGCCGTAATTCATTATTATTCTCACTTCAGAGTCAGATTTGATAGAAATTCAGTTTAAAGTCGAAATTTATCAATAATTACAAATTTGGAGCCGGAACTTACTAAAATTCCTTCTTGAAAGTTGGAATTCGATCAACATTCCAATCACAACGTACATTTTGAGTTCAAAATCACATTTTTTTAACATTGCAAATTTGTAGTCGCAATTTATGAAAATTGATACTTTAAAATCATAATTCCATAAATATAACAAGTTTAAAGTTATATAATTTGGTGGAATCCCACACAAAAATTTCAAGTTCATTGTTGAAAGTTAAAATTTCTAATACGAAATGAGAATTTTCTTAAAATTCGAAGTTTCAAGTTGAAATTATATATTTGGAAATAATAATAGAGAATATAACTTCAATATACACCTATTTCTGTTGAGTACTGTGAATTTTCACGTTTAATGTAAATTTCTAGGTATCGAAGAATTCATAGACAACTTGACATCACGGCATATGGATATACTGTAGATACGGCGCATGCGCCGTGTTTTCTTGGCAGACGGCACAGCTGATTCGACCCCCGCGTGCGTAATGTGCTTTGTTTATGTTAGCCACATGGCGCAAGGTGCAGGGGGGGCGCCATCAGAAGGGACGAGTGTGGACCACTAGCAGTGTCATGTAGGTTACGGCGTTGCCGGATCCGTGGGAAAGTTTGGTATCTACTGTTTTTAAAAGAGAATGAATATCTGGAATTTTAAGGATATTATACATATATCAAAATTAGGGAAATAATATGTCATTTTCATTTCTTTTCTTAGATGACTGAATGGAAATTAATATATTTCAAAGCAAAATAGATGTTGGTTGAAATTTGTTGCTTAATTGTTTTAGAGATTTTTCTTGTGCATATTATCTGTAAACATTTCTAGCCTCATATCACCAACCACTATTTTTCAATGGTCATTTTCGTAATTTATTTATTTCCAACCCTGATTATAGATCAGGCGTCTGCGGGTATCACTTTTCAGTCAGTGAACAGCACGGAGTAGGGATGAGAACGAAGCCGGTCTCCTGTCTCTCTCACACAATAATCCTTCTCTCACTGTCTATACAGTTTTCCATCAAGCGTAGATACAGTTTGCGATGCCACCGGAGCTGTGACTCATCCACGAGAGTTTTTCAACTTATTGGATTTGCTAGACATGCCACCGCATAATTTACAACTGATGGTTGGATCCCTCCATATTTTGAATCCACCACAGCTGTGCAACGGCACGCGATTAGTATAGATATACTTGGCATGTTCTCGAGTGGGTAAACCATGAAGTTTGTTTGTCTTAGCTAAACATAGACTAACGAAAAATAGAGTACACACTGTAGCATTAAAGGATTAATATTCTTTGTAAGCGTTATTGTTTTGATAGAAATAATTCATGTGACCAAACAACATTTGCCTAGTCAGCTAGTCAAATTATAAAACTAAATATAAAGAATTGAATATGTAGATTTTATTTGGTAAACACACGCCTGAAGAAGTTTTTGTATAGTGAAACATGTCTTTCGTTTTTCTAAAACTTTTTGGTGAAAATCTCACGATAAAGTGTCTCTTGAATACACACATATAAGACAAATAGTAGTTGCCCTAATATTAGCCCCTGTGGGACACCTCTGGATATGGTTAAGGCCTTCGAAACCACTTTTTGGGTACGTTTACTTTTCTGTGAGCATCAGTTATCGAATGAACACAATGAATAATGAAACAAAAATTAATATGTTGTTTTTATCGTTTTCCCAACTAGACACTTTTCCAGTTGTCATATTTTCAGCACTTCCCTGCTCGGCCACGGGACCTCAAGGGATATCCATCAAACTCCATTCGCAGCTTTGTAGTCTCCTAACCGAATACGAGTGTTCCCCCTTTGAGCCTTGCCCTTTTGAAGCGACCTTATCAGTTGAAGCGGATCATTGATCCCGGGAATCGTACAATGGTGTTTTGCCCGAATTGTTTCTTTTCATCAATAATTAATGTTGTTCTACGATGAGTCTTCCTAGATGCTATGAATACGTCCATTGTGTGTCGAGACAATCGGTGGAGAAGGACTCGAGGACCCGCACAATGGGTCGGTGTCGAAGAAACGAGAGTAGCCAGGGGCGTAGCAACGGGCTAGACGAGGGGAGAATGTTGGTGCAATGCCTTCAATTGTTGAACAATGCAACAAAGTAAATGCATTTTCGATGCTTATTCAATAATTGCTCTTTTAAGTATAATTATGTAACATACCTCAGTTATTCTGCAAACAAAATATCTATAAAATGACAAGGCATAAATGTAGCATTCAAAACAATTAACACTTTGCATTCATTTATAAATAATTCCAAGTCGGCACGGGACAAATAAAAAAATAGGGTCTGCAAGGTCAAGTGCGACGACTGTATTGCTTTATATATAGGCCAGACTGGCCGCAGTTTCAACCAGAGGTTTGAAGAGCATTTGAAAAGTTACAGATTGAATAAAGAAGATTCCATCTACGCCAGTCATCTCATGGAGAATACTCACAATTTCACACAAAATCCGTAAATTCTACACATTCAACCAAAAAGTCAGAAATTGAATATATTGGAATTTATAGAAATTTAAAAACAATGAAAACAACATTGTTCTGAATGATCAGATAGTTCTCTAATGATCAATAATGTTATCAGTAATTTCCTGAATGCTCCTTGACACATCTCTTTACCTACTAATACAACTGTCGAAACAGCAGTTAGAAATAAAAGTTAGTGTTGTGTGAATTGTGAAGTATTATTTTCACCCTACCCTACCCATTCGGTTATAATTATGTAGTTGAAAACTTTGTGAGAAAGTTAAGTCCCAACAAATTTCTTTATTTCAAAGAAGTATTTTTTCCTTTCCAAAGCTAGGTGAACAAATCGACAAAAGTCAATGATATGTTTCTGTCAGTACAAAACGGACAAGAGCGCCTTTTAAAAAGAAATCTACAAATTAAAATACATCCGAAATAAACCCCATCCAATAATTGTGTTCGTTTTTTCTGAACGGAATTGTTAATCATCATGAAAAATGTAAAATGCCCAAATTTGTTGTTGCTGGTCCTTTTGTATGCCAGGATATATTTTTGTAATTGTAAAAAGACACTGTAAAGTCTGCACTGATATTATTCTTATAATTAAACGTAGATAATAAGTCGACATCAGAGCTCAAATTTTGAGTTAATAATGACAAGCACACTCATGGATCAGTACTCAAAATTTTAATTTTTGTATTTAGGTTCATTGGTATTTCAAAATATATCTCAAGTTCTGGAAGAAGCTTCTACTGTATTAGTTGCTGTGTTTATTTCAAAGAAAAAAAAATGAATTTTTCAGTTTATGGACGTTATTCAAAATAAAAAATTATATGTACAAATGGCAACAATACGGAATATGTAGGTACCAGCACGCCTTTCCATGTCTGTCGAGTAAATCTCGGGAAAAACTATACCAATGATCCAAACAGGTACATACTAAATAACGTACTTTCGTAACGTACTTTTCCATTAACTCAATATAAACAGAAAAAGGTTGAAGTAAAGAAACTACCTTAACAGTTATGTGTGTTACTCAATAGATTATTTCTGTCAATGTACAAAAACGACTGAACATTTAAAGGCTGGTAAGTTTTTGAAATAAACACTCGTGACAAGCGCTGCCAACATCAACAGTTTTAACACGCGATTATAATTTTCGGAACATAATTTTGAGATATTTGACACAAATCACAAAATTAGGATTTTGACAGTAAGTTTTATCGTATCCTTTTCTGGAAATAATTTCAACATTTATGTTCGTACAACAAGCTGCTCAGTTGATGAAAATGTTTGCTATCTCAAAAATTTCTATGCAAAGCCAACTAAATTAAAACAATTCTCTCGACTTATGGTATCTGTATTCACACTCAGTTCAACCGATTGAATTAGGGATATAATGCATTATTCTAAATAATTTTATTAATATCTTTGGTGAAAATTATCAACCTACGCCTCTGTGATCAGAGCAGCCAACTAAGATCAATAATCTGTGGCAAGATCCTGTCGTCCCATACCGAATTATGCAAACCTCTGTTAATAGTTAATCAATGAACAACGGCTATGCATCCTGTCACCCCAGACTCCCTGGTTGGAAATCGGAAAAGTTTCCGACGCCGGCTGGAAAACTCACATGTACGATGGAAGCGGCGTAACTTTTCCTTTACTCCCATCATTCATCGAAAATCTACTAATTCAGAATCTGAGAGTTGTTCCGCTCAGATTCATACACATGCGTGGGAAA